GTTTAAAATTATTATTCTCTTCGTTGGATTTCGATCTAAGGCAGTTGGTTGAACTTCTCAGTCTAAACTACAGATGCTTTATCAATCTTACTGTTAACCAAGTGAATAAGCTGTTATTTTTTATAATGGCTCGGATGGGCTGGTGTGTGAACCTTGCCAATGTGCTTGGCACAATTTCTTTGTTTTTTTTTTCAGGTTCAGTGTGACTAACCAATTATGACTTCTTTAATAAACTGGTTAAATGTAATATGACATGTGGGAGTGCAGCTACTGAATCATGATTGAAAGGGTTCTTTCTTCAGCAACTGGAATAACTGTTTTGGAGCTAGGTGTTTTTTTTTCTTCCATTGGGGTATTAAAGATATATCTGACTTCTTGTTTGCATCTTAAAGAATCATATTGTTAGCTTGGTTTGGGTTTAGAGTGTTGAACTTAATTGTTGTGATTTGTAGGCAGTGGTTGGATTTGTACATTTCTATAGCCCAAGATAAACAACCTTTTGATGCCCAAGGAAGACTCAAACTTAGTATTTGGGGGACTGTGGTTGCCAAGTTGATGGGACCACATCACATAATGAGTGAAAGTGAAGCTTGAAGTAGGTTTGGGAGACACCAATTAGCTGCAGTGCACTAACCTGTGATATATATCCTGCACTTTCAAACAAGTAATACTGTGCTGATCTCTGAAGGCCTCAAAAATAGGAGAGTAATCACCTCGGCTCTGAGCCTTAGAGAAATGTCTGAATCCAGACAATGGTGGCTGTTCAGCAAACTCTGGTTCAAACCAATGATGTTATGGCATGATGTGTGAACTCAGCATGCATCAGTGCAAGGGTCTTTTGCAAAAAGACATGTGGGAGGACAGAAAGGTAACTTAGACCCAGCCAAACTGTTCGTCCATTTGGCTCAGTACTGTTTATTTTTTTTAACAGAGTTTGCATTATGTTAGCTGTTTATTTTTTTTAACACAGTTTGCATTATGTTAGCTGAAGGATGCTTGGCAAATTTGTGGTCCAGTATGGTGTGCAAATCCAGGCAGTTGAATTTATTCTGTCTTGTTTAGTTATCCATGGGTTAATATGCTGGGTGAAAGCAATTACTAAGAAGTCTTTGAGGTTTCAAATCAGAGCTGTCCCTGGGACAAAAACCAAGGATCTTTGGTCAGTGAAAAACATGTTTTACAGCTAAGCAACACATCCCTCTGAGCTTCATTGTCCTTGAGAATCTGGACGTTTTTGTCTTGATATGCACTGCCTAACTGTGGCTCCTGAGAGTGAGAAGAAAACTCTGTAAGTGTTTAGATGAAAACATGCTTTTTGACATTCCCATAGAGCCTGCGCCTGCATACATGGCTGCAGTGAAGTCAACTCATTAATTTAAGTGTATATAGTTGGCTGGTTCAACTTCACTGCAGTTTCTTCTTATTGAGGTGGTAGTTTTAAAATAAGATAAATTGCATAGTTGGACAGGGACAATCCTGGATCAAAGGAACTTTCATTGTTATAGATAATCAATATTTAATTTGAGATGGCTGATAGGCAGGGGTGGGATTCAAATTTTTAACAACCGGTTCTGTGGGCATGGCTTAGGTGGTGGCCGTGGCTTGGTGGTTATGTGACTGGGTGGACGTGGCTTGGTGGTCATGTTATTGGCTGGGTGTGGCCAACTCAACATCACTCACATTGAGGCATGCATCTCTTCACCTGGCCTCTCATGACTGTGGGGATGCTGCAACAGTTGTAAGTGTGAAAAATGGTCATAAGTCACTTTTTTCAGTGCCATTGTAATTTTGAGCGGTCACTCCACACAAGCAAAGTACCAGCAAAGGAGGGGGGAAAAAACTCCAGAGATGTTCCTGAGACAGGAAGTCTAGTCCTACCAAGAATGTAATAAGAGTTAATGGAGAGGCAGTTTCTGTAAGCAACACCAGAATGTTTCCTTCCTGCCTTCCTTACAGGATTAGGCCAGTAATTTCTTCTAACAACTGGTTCTTCGAACTGCTTAGAATGTTAACAACTGGTTCTAGCGATTAGGTGCGAACTGGTAGAATCCTACCCCTGCTGATAGGTGACTATGCAAAGCATTGCTAACCAGGACTTATTTTTCCTAGCCATACTTAGGCTACTAATAAAGGAAAATATATTTAACTCAGGGTTGACATTGAGGGGTCCTTGATGCTCTCTGAGCTTGCTTGTTTCCTTGCAGATGTTTCATTACCCAAACTAGGTAACTAGCACTGATGATGTTACCTAGTTTGGTTAATGAAACATCTGCAAGTAAATAAGCAAGCTCGGAGAGCACCAAGTACCCCTCATACTTAGGCTAATATCGGTTTCTCTTCTTGGTGACCTCTTGCAACTTTGAGCTAGTAGGCAGCATATAATTTTTCTGTATGTGTGGAGAACAGGGTGTTTTTTTTCCAGTGAATAAGGCAAATAAGGATAATAACAACATTCTCCCATCGTACACTGCGGCAGGGATCCGCTTGAGGTTGAGCTGAAGCTGGATACATTGTGGTTTAAGTTTTGGAGATGGGTTGGAAAAAAGGTAGGCCACAGATTCCAACTTGTCCCTAAAATATCCTGGTTACTCCTGCACCAAGTTGCTATCTGACAGCTTCTTGGAGATCTGATGCTTGCCTCTCTGATCTTGTTGTAATGTTTGAAATGCCAAGTTTAATGAGTATAAATATTTTGAAAGTGAGTTCTTCAAACTCAGAATCTTTTGGTAACAACACCATTACAGGCTAACATGCGCAAGCAGGTTCCTTCCTACCCTCATTCAAGCATTAAGCTAAGATTGGGACGCATCCTTATTTAGAGAGCCAGTGCACTTCATGAATGGGGTTGCACAGCTGTGAAGACGATATAGCTGAGTTTCTACATCACTCAAGTCGGGCTTCACAAACCTCTTGGGATGTCTCATAAATAAACCTAAGGATTTCCCTGGGGATATGAATATCCCAAAGGTGCTTTTCAAAATGCAACTGGACTTTCTTTCCAGTTTTGCATTTTGAAAAGCACCTTAGGGACAACCATGACCTGGATGATTGAGAATCTCCGTAGACATTGGGGATATGGATGGTTAAAAAAATACATCACTTAACTTTTAATAAAATAAGCATTTACGCTTAATATCACAAGTTTTTCAGGTTTTGCAGCTACCCTCAAACTTTCTCAAGCTAGCATAGGGCAAAATGCCCAGTGGAATTTTGCAGCATTCCCACTCGGGGGCAATGACCGCCTTCTAATTTGCTTAGGGCACCCCCTTCGGATCCTGACCCATCATTTGAGAATTCCTAGCTTAAGCCTTAAAAAGGAATGTTTTTCACATCCGCTGCAAATCTGGCCATCGCAATTTGTAAACCAGGATTTATAGCTTAGCTGGTTGCATGAAACCAGCCTGTTATGGCTTATTCAGTAAGCTGTGTTTGAATAAATCATAATTTATATGATTAGTCTCAGACAGCCGGTATGTTGGCGAAGAAGTTGCATTCTAGAAAAGGTCAATTTAAATTATTTGGATGAAGAACAAAACTATAAGAATGGTTTGTGTATTGCAAATGATTTCTTGACGAAGTCTCATTGGCTGAATTCACACAACAATAAGTCATAAATCATGGCTTGTGAATTACAGGGGCTTGCTTTGTACAACATGCTGAGTTAAAGCCAAGCTACTCATGTTTTGGCTTAGTGTGCTGTGTGATGTTGATCATAATTCAGCACGGAACAAGGTTACAAGCTTTATGCAAACTGTCTGGCAATGTTTGTCACTATATCTGAGAGCTTTTTCTTTTGCTAAGGATTTGCCTCATTTCCAAAACAAGCACTGAAGAAGAAAGCACTTTACCTTTATTCCTGATTGATGTTGAAGCAGGAAGAAACTGTTTAAATTTCTACCGTGAGCTGCTTGCGTGGGGTTTGGCCTGAATCTGCAGCAGTAAGCATTTACCTGCCCAGGCAGTTGGGATGGTTCTGAGCAGATTCAGCACTTTCAGCCCTTTGACAAAGGAAAATGAAACCAGATAGTTTTGAAGAGGTTTGGGCAAAGCCAGTTAGAGAAATGAAAATCTCAGCATGAGGTTTCTTGCTGTCAGAACCATTTAAAAACAAGTCAGACTTTCACGAATGAGGGCAAATATACGTCTTCTTTTAATGACCCCATAATCCCTTGCGGGATGGAATCTGGGCAACTGAATGGAACTAGCAGAGTGTTTTACTGGCCAGATGCCCTTCCTGTCACCAATGCGGAGTTATGTTCAGCAGAAATATTTATCGGTGTGCCCAGAGAGAGGAAATAACTGCCTCTACTTAGGATGGAACTCACAGCCTCCTGATTGTGAGATCCCCTCTAGGCCACCACGCCACTCCAGGGCAAATATTCATGTCCCAGGATAATGTTGCATGATCCAATTTGGGTCGGGCACCAGGACCAGAGGAACTTCTCTCTAGCAGAGAGACCAGCACACAC